TTAATTATATGTTAACCAACCTGATCCTCTTCCAACGTCTTCCTTCAACCTTTCCTTGGTCTTTGGAACATGGCATTCTGTAAGGCTGGTCATGATAATAAGGTCTGGGGCAAAGGCAGCACGCAGTTTAACCAAGAACCCTCKCTTGTTAGGCAATGGCCCCATATTTTCCTTAGTCTTTTGTTTGTCTCCCATGTACTTATAGAAGCCTTTCTTGTCCTTGAAATCTCTGGGCAGATACAATTCCATTTTGGCTTTAGCTTGATCCCTGGATGCTCTTCTGTATTCTTCCCACTTGTCCCTGTTTCCAACCTGTGTATGCTTCCACTCTGTGCCTGAGTATTGCCAGGAGCTCCTTGTTCATGCACACAGTCCTGGCATTTTTGCCTTCCTTTCTGTTCATTGGGATGGACTGCTCTTGAGCTGGGAGAATATGATCCTTAAATATTAAATTACTTTCTTGGGTCTCTCTTCTCTCCCCAKAGGATTACCCCATAGGATCCTTCCAAACTGATCTTTGAAGAGGGTAGAGTCTACTCTGCTGAATCCTGGGTTTTGAACTTGGTYTTCCCCTCCTCCCTGCCCTCAGGACTTTGATGGTCTCTGCCACCAAGACTGCCCTTGACCTTCACATCCCAGGTCCCCTCCACATGGTATGAAACCCAGCAGATCACTTCTCCTGGTTGTCTCCTCTGTCTCTCAGAGGAGGAAGATCTCAACAMTGCACTCCAGGTCCCTGGATTGCTTATGCCTTTCTKTGTTGTCCCTCCAGCCAACGCTGGGGTGGTTAAAGTCCCTCAYGAGGACCAGGGCCTGAGCACTTGGGGCTGCTTCCATCTGTCTGTACAGGGTCTCACCCACTTCCTTTTCCTAGCCAGGCAGCCTGTAACAGGCAGCCACTATAATRTCATCTTTACCTGTGCTCTTTTTAATCCCAACCCTTGTGTGCTCATCTGCCTTTTCATCCATCCCAACTGCCCTCTCACATAATAAACAACTCCTCCTCCTCATTTTTCTCATCCTGCCCTTTATAACAGACATATCCTTCCCTTGCAACACTCTGGTCATCGGAGCCATCCCACCATGTGTCTGTGATCCTGACGGGATCTTGGTCCTGCAGCTGCACACAGATSTCTGGCTCATCGTGTTTATTCCCTAAATTGCCTCCATTAGTACACAGGAATTTTGGATAGGAACTCCTGCATGCTGACATCCTGAAGAGGGCTTGGAGGATTATGTTGTACCCAGAGTTACAAACATTTTTGATATGACATAGCTAAAGCTAAAGAGAATTGAGTAATAAATGRCACATTAAGATGATTTTATACAATAAACTAAATCTGTGAGCTAGAATACAGTGGTTTATATAAAAACAATAAATATTTTTAACGTTAAAAATATCTCCTTTATTTGTTTGCCTGAAATTAGAACCTGATGTTGGCAATTCCCTTCAGAGTAAGAAGCAATTACTAAGATGAAGCTATCTTAATTCAGAATCGATTGAACCCAACTCATTAACCAGAACTAAACCGGCACAATGCCCGGTGGCTCTCGCCTCTCAATGCCAGCATGTGGCGCTGTCTCCTGTAAAAAAACAGCCCCTGGTTTGCAAAAAACCTCATTTGTACATTGTCAGATTCCTCTGAAGCACAGGCAGGAAAATAATGTGGATCTTTTTAGCATAAAAATAATACTCTACACTTGCAAGAATTTGTTAGCATTAATTCTACTACTTCTAATATGAAGAGATTACTTAATGTAATTTATTGACAAAAAAGTGAGCAAAATATGTGAATGCATCCATATATCTGTTTATCTGGTTAAAGACCACAATTATATTTACAGGTTGGTTGAACTGTATACATAATTTRTTTCAAATTTTCTTTATTCTGCAGCCAATTTATCAACATCTTTAAAACAAGTATATTTACAAACTTGCATATCTTCTCTTTTGATCTAACAGATACTTAGTCCATAGTGGGTTTTAATTACCTACTAAATTCTTGAGCTACTGAACCTGTTTCATAATCTCCATGTAGGGGAACAGGACCTGTGTGAACAGTTTTACTGGAAATGAACAGCCAGCCTTTTGTGTGTTAACCAAATCAGCCCTTACTGAGATGGAATTCAGAGGCTACACCGATATCTCTGTAACCACGAACTTTCAAACAAAAGCAACTGGCTAAACTGTATTCACTAGCTTTTTAATTATTAAGAGCTCTATGGCCTCTGCTACCAGACTTTATAAAACAAAAGAAACAGGATTCATACCCTTTAACTTAAAGCTGGGGTTTATAATACATGACRTAAAAGGCATTAGTACTAATATGGAGGGGATATATCAACTCAGTTTTCTGGCCTGTCTAGATTTGCATCTTATTTACAGAAACTTACATATTTTTCAGGCAGTTCTTATTATCTGTGCTAAAAGTTAAATTCATTCAGTGCACCTGTAAACACTATGAATCAGCAAAGCAATTTTCTTCTCATGACTCAAGGCAAAAAGCTGCACAATTTTTAGTCAAGGCTTAAGAAAAACTATTTAAAAGTTTGTCAGCTAGAAACTTGGAAGTACTGAACTTAATACTGAGGCCTGAATGGGATCACCACTATTTGTCATAACATTGCTAAGACTGTACATTTATTTCTGTGTTGTTCTATAATGTGCTGCTTTTACTTTGTAAATATAGACATGATGGGTCAGGCAAAGTAACCAGTTCTCAAGTGGTGAAGTATCAGCATTTCTGAATCCCTTATGAACTCTGCTCACTACAAGAGGAAAGGTAAYCATTCCAACTGCAAAAATGAAGAAGACTTCAGTAAGTGTAGCTGATATGGCCTTCCTTGATTACCCAGGGCMTTTCCAAAATAGCAGGCAGAGTATGGAAAACAGCGTGAACAGCAGGGAAACTTCTGTGCCAGGATGTGGCAGGTGACCTCGTCTTTTGGCAGCTGCGCTCCCTCAAGCATCCGAGGGCACAAACTGTCATCTCCATTTGGTAACACTGGCAGCACTGAGTCTGGCCTTCTGGCTTTTCTCAAGTGAAGATTTCTGACAGCTGACAAGAGGGACCATAAGCTGCAAAGTAACATCTACATTAAAATGTGCCTTGCTGTTTGTTATATTTGTATGTTACCGATGCTTGTGACATGAACTCTCTTTTTAATCTGCGCCTTTTGTGATTAGGTAGTAGAACTGCAGCTAGAATCTAATGGTAGAATTTGACAAGTGATTTCCTAGTTGGGATGTAGCAGGCCTTTTTAAACTTTGAATTTCTGATATATGAGTGCATGAAGGGTGTAGGCATATAGTCTGGTGAGAATAATAACATTGGGGAATATACTTTTATTTCACAGCTGTGTATATAAGAACATCCACAGAAGAATTATAGCCATGTAACATTAGTGCCAACCAGACTGGTTGAAGATCTTTCTGACTTTTACGAGATTTTAGATGACTTTCCTAGTGAACAACTAACTTTTACTAGACATTGTTCCAGTAAAGATGACTCCTGAATTCTTTTTAATACAGGATTTGATAACCACACTGAACTACTACTTACAGAAGCAACCGATCTTGTATTAACTCCTGAAATGGCCTGGAGGCCACATATTTCAGCTCATATAACCGTGGGATTTTCAAGTTCAGGAGGTTCAATCCACAKGCTCTGGTGAGGAATGATCCACTTGCTCCTTCTAGCAGCACATACTTGTGACGGGAGGAGTCCATGCAGTGCAGAGGGAGAAGAATGTGGTAGGTAACCTCTGCGCTACATACTGCAGCACGCACTCCGGCCCTGGAGCTGCTGGCGCACAGGGAAAGGATGTTGCACTCATATTTACTGTGTGGGGGCCATTTTACAGCTCAAGGTGCTGTTTTAATTTTTGCAGCCATTACACAGAGCTATGTGGACTAATGATGTGTAGATTTTCATTTTTAAATAACTCTTCAGAGGAGCCTGGATGGGTTTCACCTTGGGACAAACGCAATAAGAAACACCGAGTTTCAAAAGGTGATTTCGAGTTCTTGCCTCCTCGTMCTTTCTTTGATTTTTTTAAAGAACTAGAAGAGACTTAGGGGTGTAAAGACAGGTTACCAGGAGCCGCGGCGCCCAGCCACCCGCAGTCAGTCCGTGAGTGGGACAGGAGCGCATCCCCGCCGTGCCCCGCAGTGGGTGCGGGTG